CTGACCTGGATCAGGGCCAGAGCTCCAAGAGGCTGTCCTACCAAGGACAGAGCCGTGACAAGCTTCCTCGACCCCCTTGTGTCAGTGTCAAGATTTCCCCAAAGGGCGTCTCTGATGAACATAGGAGGGAGGCCTTGAAGAAGCTGGGGCTGCTGAAGGAGTAGGCCACCAGTGCCACCAAGATTAAACCAAGAGGAGAGACTGCGGGCTCCACTTAGGAGCCCTTGTGACCTCACGGCTTAGGGCTGGGGCAGCCATGGGCTCCTCTCACCAGTTCTGCGCTCTTGGAGGCGAATGGGAAGGAGAGACTTTTGTTCAAGCATGTGTTGAATTCAGAGTGGTTGTGCCATTGACCATCTCTACAGATCATTCTGAAGAAGAAATAGACAAGGGCGTGGGGCATGTGCACGTGTATTTGGGGGAGCTGTACATATCACTGACACTCTTTATGTAACACAAAAAGGCATTGTTCAGAGTTCTGCTCTTGTTGAAAATTTTCTTACAATGGAGAAGGGAGGCCAGAAAAGTCAAATGAGATGATGGATATGCAAGTGATCTGAAAGAAGAGTTAAGAAGGGGCTGGGGATATAGCTCAGTTGGCAGAGTGCTTGCCTCGCATGCACAAGGCCCTGGGTTCAATCCCAGCAGCACCACCCCCCCCCCAAAAAGAAGAGTTATAATCTACACATAAAGGTTCACATGAATGTGGGCCTCCTAGAATCCCTGCGGGAAATGAGACTGGTTCATACCTTGTTGGATCCCTCTCTCAGTTCAGGCCTTCTGGACAAGGCCTTGAGCCTAGAGAAGTTGGTTTGTTATCTCTTCACCCACTGCCTTCTTAGTGTCACCAGTCCCACTGGAGGACCCCTCCCTGTGACTAAACCTCTTAGTTCACTGATAGCAGGACAGCTCTTGTCAGTCTTGAAGGCAGGATAAGAGGCCACACACTCATACCTCTGCCTGCACTGGTGAGAGTTCTTGTCAGTGGGCTTGAGAAATTCGATAATAAACTGTGCTGTGGTTCCATGACTCTGGTATTACGATGCTTCCTGCTCTCTTGCTCTTTATCTCACTCTGCACATGACCGACTAGAGGGCTGGTCAATACTGAGGTGGAAGCCCCAGCCCAGAGGTTTTATAAATACCACAGAACTATTTCAGATCTATGTTATTGTAGATCATTTTCAAATGTCCACAGTTCCAAGGATAAGAAATCATCACAACACATAGAAAATTGGAGCTGAGAGGAATCTTAAGAACTCCTATCCAACCCTGCTGGGGAAGGGCAGAGACTCATTCATGGTCACTCTGCATTTGGTAAACAGCTGAGTCAAGGACCTGGGGCTCCTGATTCCCATTCTCTGCTGCCTCCCTTAACCATGCTCTTGTACTTCCACATACCACCTTAAAAGTCCATAATCACTGTCAAAGCCTGATCCCTAAGATCTTCAAGACCCTAGTGTCTTCTGAAGCAACCAGGACTAAATGTTCAGGATATTTAGTGTTGTAGTTTTTATTCCACCTTCAGAAAGTGGTTATATAATAGCTCATTCTTAACCAGAACACCTCTTCCTGCAGATTCTCTGACCAAGCCGTACAATTTGAGCAAATGCCAAAAGAGGGTAATATGAGCAGGTGGTGTGGACTTGTGAGTACAAGCTTGATTAGACATGGCTAGACATGACCCTCACTTCCCCTTAGGAAACACGTCTTATGCCTATGACTTGGTTGGAGTTCAGCATGACCAGGTGTGAGGGGTAGATAAAGGGACTGTTGTTGGAAAGGTGCCCTGCAGCTATGCTGAACATTTCTGGCCCGTGTCCTCAAAGACCCATCACTGTCAAACTCAGAATTTCTGAACATGATGAGAAGGTTAGGGTAAGGATAACAGATGGCTCCGCCCTGCCCTGGTATGTGGGGTGTGGGTGTGGCAGTTTCTATGTACACTTCTCACACACACTCACACCCAAAAGCCTGGTGCCTCATTCCTAGCCCTGAGTGAGGACCCATTCTGTCACAGCTGATGGGGACTCCCACACTAGCCAAGCTATATCTTATTACAGACTCCCATAAGGAGAGAGAGCCACCTTCTAGAGAAATGATTGGACATACTGGATTATTTTGAGCTGCTTCGTGTGTAAGTTTCAAGACACGACCTGAGGAATGATAGCTTTCTTCCTTATTCATTAATTACATTGATTAATAGGGAAACATGAGACTAGCCATCAACTGAGACTTGGTGGGAATCCAGAGCCCTGGCATCAACACAATGCTAACCCACACTGGTTGGTCAGGACTACTACCTGTTTAGTTTCCACCCCTGGGAAATGAAACTTCTCTCCCAGACAAATCAGAGTTACAAACAGCCTGCACTCTGCCCATCAGCATCCTCATCCTAGTGGTGAGCTGGCTTCCCCAGTTTCATAATCTGAAAGACTCTTTTACCTGGTTATTTAAGGATACCATGCTCCTTACGTCCTTGTCCTTCAAAAAGTATATTCTGTTTTAAGGAAAGTCTTTGGAATTCAGGAATAAAATAATAAATCTAAATGAAGTCATCTCATTTTGAAGAGGAAAAAGGAGACCCAGTGAGGATGGATCTACCTCCCTGAGGGTGATGCTAGACCCACCTGAGGTGAGACCTGAGGTAATTGGGTCTGTTCTCTTATGCTCGTATAGGATTTCTCTTCACTCAGCTTGGACTGGTTTGGTGGAAGGTGAGAATGGGTTTTGTTATTTTTTTTCAAAGGATTTTGGGAGGAAATTTGTAAAGACCATCAATTTGATCTTAAAAGCCAAAGTGATAGCTCTTGACCTTGGATTTCTTGGATTTCTGCTTTGCAGCACTATAGTCTTGCTGCTATTAGGCACAAACTATTCTCAGAATAAAGAAGTGATCACTCTTCAGCCTGGTGCAGTGGGATCTGTGTTTTCAGAGGTGTTATCAGCTCCTCCTCAGAGTCACCACTCCTGTGCTAATTTGGGAATTCTGCATTCTGACTCCAGGGTGGTGGCAAGGCTGACCTACAGGCCATCTTGCACTGAAGTTGGGACAGAGCCACTCACCTTTTACCTGCCTTCTTCCACAGAGGGAAGTGTGGTCTGGCAGAGTTCATCCTGTAATCTGGAGGGAGCAGGTGTGCAAACATTGCTGATTGTTTCATGGAAGGAAGGGCGGGTAAAAGATAGGAAAGTAGGTCCTAATTGATGTTCTAGGTTTAAGCTGGAGGAGAAGGTTGAAGAGTCTACAGAATGCACAAGTATGTGAGATGAACCCCTCTCTCTTTGGATCCCTGGTTGCCTATGTAGGCAAAGAAGGATAACACTATGCAAATATGAAACTACATCTCTTAGATTAGTGGAAGTGGAGACCAACGGGTGAGAAGGAGGAATCCTGAACGTATTTATCAGAAACTAAGAAGGAATACTCTTTTCCTCATGTGAATGACTATAAAGCGTACAACTCTAGACTCAAAGTCAACCTCCATCATGGGCCAATCAGGAGCCCTGGGAGTGATACTTTAACTTTTGAACTTCAGAATTCTCATCTGTGAAATGGACGAAATACCACTGTTCTTTAAAGATTGTTGGGATGGAAAGGTGATATAAAATATGTCAAGCTCAGTACTTGGCACTTGGCTCCATAATTATAGTACTATCTTCAGGGACTTAGTCTTTCCTTCTCAAAGGGAGCAAACAGAGAGAGGGTTGGAAGCCAAGTATACACCCAATTCTGCTCTGAGAAGAAATAGAAGAAAGCTTGCTGCCTATAAAAGTCCAAAGTAACAACTAGTCTTTGGCACACCCTGCAGGTGACTCAACTTCACCCACGCCACGTTTCCGGAATTTGAATCTGATGTTTGTATCTTGGTGAGGATGAGCCCACTGCTTCCGTTTCTGAATTCTCAAACCCAGTTTCCCCTCAATTGTGTCTCATGCTTCTTATGAGCATATAGTTTGGTTCTTCAAGTTTTCCCTAACTTCCTTTTTGCTACGTGGTTCATGGAGCTATATGCTCTTCTATAGTTATTTATTTTTAGGAAAGAGGGGGGAAAACTTACATAACAAGTGGGAACTTTTGCTAAAAGCAGAAAGAGATAGAAACTCTAAAAAAGGTTTCAAGATTCCTGGAGAAATTTTTTTTTAACAAAAAATAGGGTAGACATCTTTCTGGATGAGGCATTATTTATCAGGATGTCAAAGCCCATGGGATGGCCTCTCCACATCCTTCCTGGTGTGGTGACCCTGTGAATTGCTTGAGTCATCACTACCATCACTGACACTTAGCACACCAGTAAGGTAAAAAAATGGTGACAGTCTGATTCCAGGCTGTTACTCTCTCTTGCTCATTACCTAGTTGAATTGTTGTCCCTGTTCACCACTTGCTCCGGATCCTGAGTTCAAAATTGTATGAAACACAATGGTATCCAGGCAGAGCTGCAGACCAGGTGAACTCTAGTAGATGATTTCATGTCACTCATAAAATGGGGGGGCTTGGAATGGACTATCTCCTAGATCCATGACATCCCTGGAATGTATGTTTCATGAGTCTAAATAAGTCGATTAGGAAGATCAACACCCTGCCCAAAATAACCACAACCTAAGTCTAAGAAAGCTTAGGTTTTATAATGCAACTCAAGCCCCCACTTAAAGAGAAAAATGGATGGATGGATGGATGGATGGATGGACTGATGGTGTTATGGTTTGGATATGAGACAAAAGCTCACATGTGAGACAGTGCAAGAAGGCTCAGAGGAGAAATGATTGGACTGTAAGAGTCTTAACCCAATCAGTGATTTAATCCCCTGATAGGAATTAACTGAGTGGTAACTGAAGTGGGTAGGGTGTGGCTGGAGGAGGTGGGAATTGGGGTGTGGCTTTGGGTATATATTTGTATGTGGCGAGTGGATGCTCTCTCCGCTTTCTGATTATCATGATGTGAGCTGCTTCCCTCTTCCACATTGTTCTGCCATGATGTTCAGCCTCACCTTGAACCTAGAGGAATGGACTCCACTGTCTATGGATTGAGACTTCTGAAACTGTGAGCCCTTAAATAAACTTTTCCTCCTCTACAATTGTTCTGGTTGGGTCTTTTGGTCACAGTGGCAAAATAGCTGACTAAAATGTATGTATGTATGTATGTATGTATGGATGGATGGATGGATGGATGGATGGACAGATAAAAGGAGACAGGAGAAAGACTGAGAACTTGGAGTAGCCAAGAGCATAGGCTTGGGAGGCAGGTTTCCAAGGTCTCTGTACCTTAGTTCCTTTCCCAGTTATTTCTTTGTTCTTCGTTTATATTCTTTTTCTGAATAGTTCAGGGAACTATATGCTGTTCAATGATTATGTTTATTATATTTTATTTCATTTTTTGGTACTGGCAATTGAACCCAGGGCCTTGTGCGTGCTAGAAAGGTGCTCTTCCACTGAGCTATGTCCCCAGCCCTTTTTATTTTATTTTGAGACAGGACCTCACTAAGTTGCTGAGGCTGGCTTCAAACTTGCAAACCTCCCTGAGAGCTGTAGTTACTACAGACCTATAGTGACATCTGACTATTTATTTTTTTAAATGGAGGAAAAATGAACTTAAATTATAACAGGATGAAACCCTATAAAGTAAGACAATATTAATACTTGTTTTAGTCAGTTTTGTCACTGTGACCAATTCATCTGACAAGAACAACTTAAAGGAGTAAAAGTGTATTTGGGGCTCACGGTTTCAGAGGTCTCAGTCCATAGACAGCCGACTCCATTCCTCCAGGCTCAAGGAGAGACAGAACAGTGAAGGAAGGGCCCAGTGAACGAAGGGTTCAGCTCCTGATAGGGTCAGGAAGGAGAGATAGAGAGGGAGAGATAGGTAGACAGATAGATAGATAGATAGATAGATAGATAGATAGATAGATGGATGAGAAGGGGTTATAGGGAAGATACACCCTTCCAAAGCATGCCCCCAATGACCTTCTTCCTCCAGCCATACCTCACCTGCCTAGGATTGCAACCCAGTCAGTCCATTCAAACTAGGATGAACTGATTAGGTTACAGCTCTCATAATCTAATCATTTCACCTCTGAATAGGCCTGCATTAACAGGAGCTTTGGGGGGAACACCTCATATCCTATATAAACACCCCATGCAGTTGTTCCAAGAATAGAAACAAAGTAGATAATCTATGTATAAAAACACTTAGCACACTGCTCAGTAATAATAGTTATTAATGTTGCTATCAACTACATATGTAATTTAGACTCCGACTCCCCACCCCCATATGAGGACTACATTAATCATAGCCTGCACCTAATTCCTCAAGCTGAAACAGTGGAGTGTTCCTCCAATTTGCAGACCCTCCTGCAGCCCACCTCCATCCAATTCTGTACTATCTACATCTGTGTGTGCTGCATTAGGACCTCCCCACAACAACCCCCTCACTATCCCTCCAGATTCAAAGCCCAGGCCTTTGACTGAGTCACTTGGGAAATGAAGTGACTTAACAGTAGTTTGTTGTTTTCTGAGTTTTTTACTGAAGGTTGGGATGGGGGATGCCAAGGGACCTGTCACAACGACATGGCTCCCCTACACTGCCCTTCCTTTCTTCTCTCTTTCCATGCCAACTTGTCCCACAACCAGGAAATCCTTCTCACCTTCACCCACACTTGAAACCCTTTATCATCTGAGCCTTGGCCCAAGAGACTTTTCCAAAAATTCCTCATACATGAATACAGTTGACTGAGTGGAAACAGCAGTACCTCCTCACTGTCATTCTTGAAAGGGGGCAGGGAGCTGTGACACAAATTACCTGTGGCGTCCACACCTCCTCCAGCTCCCATCATGCTCTTCCTGAATGGTTGGGCAGATTCTGAGAGGCCAGCTCCTTGGGTGTGGGAAGATCCTGTGCTTCTGACCCAGCTGCCTGGGAAGGAGCAACATCCAGTTGGTCCCCTGCCCTGCCAAGTGTCTGCTCTGTTCACTTCTGTCCAAGAAGAGGTCAGAATAGCTGCCCAGGTTTTGTCGCTGTTCTGCCTCATGGTGCTGGGACAGCCACCCGGGCTGTTGCACCCTCCTCTCCAGACCTAACGTCCAGAAGGCCAGAACAATGTTCTCTACTGGGGAAATTTCTCATCAAATCTTCCCTCTGTGCTCTATTCCTCAGCTGTCTGCTCGATGCGCAAAAAGTGTCTCGTACCCTTAGTCCAAACACAGACCCCCGTGGGGGACCTGCATGGGTTCACCAAAGTAGTCAGTCCATCAAGTCATGTAAATGTTACCTCCGGACTTCTCCCAGTCTCTCTCTCTCCCAGATGATTGTTCTCTTCACATCACCTCAGCCTGCTTCCATTTCTCTCTCCACCCAGCAACCACAAGGATATTTGCATCTATAGTGCATTACCTTTCCTGTAAGAAAAGGGGATATGAGGAAAAAAATATGGGAGTAAACCAAAACCAAATGTGATCAGTTCCCTACAATGGGGGAGAAGGGAAGCAGTGGGAAGAAAGTGGGGGGTGGGGGTGGGCATAGAGAGAAGGGATCAGGGAGAACTACCTGTGTGTACCTTTTTATATGGTTCAAATCTGAAAGCCCTAGTAATGTTTTGCATACTCATTAAATAAGTAAATAAGCAAACAACTACCTGACATGTGCGTATAAGGAGAAGGGGAATCCAGAGATTAACAAATCAACCTGTGTTAAGAATGAATGTCATCAGCCGGACACCATTGGCATATGCCTGTAATCTCAGTGAATCTGGAGGCTGAAGCAGGAGGATCCCAAATTCAAGGCCAAACTCTGGCCAATCTAGCAAGACCCTATTTCAAAACAAAAACAAAAACAAAATAAGGACTGTGGATATAGCTCAATGCTAGAGCACTCCTGGGTTTAATCCTCAGTACTACAAAAAAGAATTAAAAAAAGAAAATAGTGAATGACATCATCATACCAAAGGGGGTGGGAAAGAAAAGAGCAAATTTAAGTAATTTGGAGGGGGAAAAAACATTTTAAATACATGCTTTAAAAAAAAGACATTCTATTTCATGAGTGTTTCCACATGTACAGTTCAACAATTCTAAAACCACATTATGAGTATTACAAGAATAAGTAAGCAACTCTGTTATGGACAAAGAGAACTAGATTTATTACTCTAGGGGAAGAGAGTTATAAATTCAAAAGTGGAGACTGGACTGAACCCTCTAATACTGAATTGGAATCAGAGACATCTATATGAACTCAATGGTTAGTTAGGTAATAGACAGTTAGATGATTGATAGATAAACATGGACAAAGATACTGGTGTGTATGTATATCTGTACTTTTCTTTCCTAGCTCTGTCCTCTTTCTGAGAGAGTCTGGGGGTAACGAAACCCCAGAAGGAATGAGCATACCTGGTACACAGGCCTTGATTTTCAATAGCATTTTCAACAAAAAGAAACTAGATGTCTTTGGAGAATTACGTGGCCAGCCCAGAAAAAGACAAGATAGGCCTGAAATATCTTGTGATACCTAAAAGTAAGAAAATACTCAAAAAATAATGACAACATTTCAAAAGGACATAAAAACCAACACAAAGTTCTCTTGGTCAAATAAGGGAGAAGCTGATCAATGAGATAACTGGCAGTTATGGATTATACTCCTTGGAATGAAAATAAATATTCATAGTTCCATACTGATGTAAATAAATAATTGAATAAATAACTAAATCAGGGAGAAGCAATAGTTATTCTGTACAAAACAATTCCAATAAAGGCAGAATGAATGACAGAGATAGAAGGATCACAGTTTGGCAAGCATCACAGTAATAATCATTGCAGGCAAGATTATGAATGGACATTGAAATGAACAGAAGAAAATATGATGAGATGTTGGCATCGTCTCAAAATCTCTCTCTCTACAAAATTCTTATTTATTACAGAGGGAAAAATGGAACTTTTGTAATGAAACAAACCTGGCAGACACAGTTGGACCAAGTGACCAAAGTTAACATCGCCAATTACAACCCATATGGACATCATGTACCTCCTATTATAGTGCGTAAAATTGCTTCAGTGAATTTCTTTCCAAAACTGCACAGCCTGACCTTAAATATGAGGAAACAACAGATAAACACTAAGAGTTGGTTCTTTAAAAAATGGGGGTCTTAAAAGATAAAGAAAGCCTTGAGGAATAATCACACATTGGAGAGGACAGTTAAATGCAAAGTAGCATCCTGGGTTGGATCTTGCACCAGAAAAGGACATTCCAATTTAATTTTGATAAGTGTGACATGCAAGAATTTGGGAAAGATGGGTAAAGATTATGTGGGAACTCTTTGTACTATTTTGGCAACATTCAGTAAGTTCCAAAATTATTGCAAAATGAAAAGATTATTTTTTCCCCAAATCTGAATTCCCCACTGTTCTAAGGATATATACAGGGAAAAAAAATTTTTTTCAGTGCTGGGTATAAAACCCAGTGCCTTGTGCATGCCAGTGAGCTGCACCAGCTGCAGACCAAAATATTAAGCATGGACTCCAACATTTCTAGATTCTGACAAAGGCAGCCCTAGTTCATCACTGTAGTATTCCACCTCTCCCCATCTGTGCAGTAGTTACTGCTTCAGTTCATAGAATTAATCTCTTCTCCAAAGAGCATTTGTGATAATTATGTCATTCACATGTGTTTTTCCATAAGCTACACTCCAGGGTTTTGGAGACCAGGTCTCATTGTATGCCACACACATTGCACAGTGCTCAGCATGCAGCAAGCACTCAATGAACACTTGTTGAATGAATGAGCGACTTAATGGGGTGCAGTGTGCCACAAATGTCCATCGTTTTTATAGCTCAAACAGAAGTTTTAAGCTATAGAAAGGACACTTCCTATTCACTGAGTCTCAGGTACACCTTTAAATTTTTTTTTTCATATGCCCAACTCATATTGGGACCTGCCTGTGGTCTTCTTGGTAGTTAGGTTTGGTAGAGCAAATGTACCAACAGCATTGTCTCTATCCAGGACCCGGGATTGTGTAAAGTAAGCTCCTCACAGGAGGTGGAGGACCTCCTTGCCCCAACTCTGCAGGACCACACTTTAGTGTCTTCAGAGGTAGAAGAGAACAGTTTAAGACATCTTAAGGAGGAAAAGAAAGAGAAGTTCTTGGAGAAGTCTGAACTCCAATTTCACAACCAAGTCTGATATCTCTCACAATGAAAAATAAACAATAAACAAACCAAACAAAAAAACTTAAAACCTTTCTTAACCCCATTTTCTTGAGAGCATGGTTGTTCAATAGATCTTTCTGCAAAGATAAGAACATGCTGAATCTGCTCTGCCCAGGTAAGTAGCCACTAGTTACCGGTAGCTATCAAGCCTTTGAAATGTGGCCAGTGTGATGAAGGAACTGAATTTTTAACTTTGCTTCATTTTGGTTCATTTAAGTTGTGGCTGGTGGTTGTGGTGCTGGACAATCCTGCTCTAGAGCTCTGGCCATCTCTCTGTTCCTCTTCTGAAAATGTTCCTTGAAATAGTCACAACTTCTCCTTTCTCACCTCAACCTTATTTTTCCTCCTTCTTTGAAACATGCATCTATTCCCTCCATTCCCCCAGACTACGCTTTCAAAATCATCCGTGATGCCTATGCTAACAGATCCAATCGTCCTCTTTGCCCTCAGCAGTGTTTGACACAGTGGACAACTCCCCATTTTTGAGATGCTGACTCCTCTTGGCTCCTGGGTATTTGTGTGCTCCTTGTTCGTCTCATTTGCCAGCTTCTCCTCTTGGGCCCTGGGACTCCCTCCTGTGCCCCCTTCTCCCACCTGTCCCTCAAAGCACAATAAAGTTGTCCCAGCTTTGGGACTCCGCCTTGACTATTCCTTCTACTGAAATTCCCTTCCCATCATCTTTACCTAGTTAGCTCCTTCTCATCCTTCAAGTCTCAGACCTTCAGAGAGACCTTTCTGCATGCTCAATCTAAGGGAAATTCCACTTTTTCTTCACAGCATAAACCTTGAATTCTCTGCATGCACTCACCACTATCTAATCTCTTCTTGTTTATTGGTTTGCTTGTTTTATTTACTTTCTCTTTCCCTCAATCAAACTGCAAACTTCATGAGCGTAAGGACTTTGTCCATCTTGTGGAAGAGTTCTTGCACATAGCAAGCACTCAGCAAATATTTGCTTAATAAATATATGAAAGGACTCTTATGAAATACAGGAGAGAGATGTTTTGAAAGCTAAGGGGGAAAAGGCTTTGCAGAAGAGGACAGAGGGACATGATCAACAGTTTCAAATACTGAAGGCACATCAAATATGATGACTTAAATATATCCATGGAATTTGGGAATTAAGGGGTCACTAGTAATCTCAGTAAAAGCAATCTCAGTGGAGGATTAAATGTGGAAACCTAACTTTAGCAGACTGTGGAGTCGATAGTAGCGGAGACAGTGAGTATAACTTTAAACTTAGCTAGAAAGGGACCAAATAAGTAAAGGATATTGACAAAAGATAACTAAGGGCCCAGGAGGGGTTTTTATCATTTGCTTTAGGATGGAATAAGATTTGAGCATGATCATATGCTAGGAGCCAAGTGAACAAAAATGAATTCTTGGGAAAAGGGTCAGCACCTTCTCCTTGAGGCCAGGAGAGAAGAGGAAACATGTGGTAGGGGTTGGGGACAACCTTTTGGGTGGAGGGTGCTTCCTCTTAATGGATCGCATTTTTCTCTTAATTTGGAGACTGAGAGCAAGGGAGGTAGGGTCAGGGTATGGAGCTTGATAAGATAAAAGGTTTAGAATAGTCATGGTGGTTAGGGATAAGAAATAGTTAATTTGGAACGATGACCGCCCCCCCCCCCCAGCAAAAAATGGATGTTGATACTGAAGTCCCAAATGAGATCAGAGGCCACCTGTATGTTTTTCAGGATTTAGAAGATACAAGCAAAGGAAGGTCAGGTGCATTCATGTCTAAGGGAGTCCTTGTTATCTCCATCTCTGGTACTTTGACTGAGGCCCCCTCACTCAACATTTATAGCTACCAAATCGTAACATCCCCAGAAGAAAAAAATTGTTCCCAGAAATTCCCTCATTTTCTATATAACTAATAGAAATCCACAGCTCTTTCAGCCCTCCTTGCTCATTTCCAGAACCTTTCAGCATCCTGACAGTACCTGAAGGAGATGTCAGTACTTGAAGGATACTCAAAGACAAGTTTTAGATGTACCCTCAAAGCACTGAGGAGTGTCCTATGCTGATGGGGTAGAAAAGCCATGCTGTGGAAAGGGTCTGGGGTCAGGAAGTGCTATCCCTGCCTCCAGTGTCACCCCAGGCCCTTGCCATGGGGTTGGAGGCTGTGGACATACGTTTCAACTGGGGCAGGAGGTGGAAGGAGTACCAAGAGAAATGCTGAGGATGTGACGAAGTTGCTAGTAGACATGGCGGGGTGTGGAGGAAGGAGCTGCTTGGAGTGCGGGGCGTGGAGGGCCTCCCTCTGGGCTAGCTCCTTTCTAGGTGAAATCAGTGCCAAATGACTCTGAGCCTGCGCAGGAGAACACAGGCTGGGAGTTGGGGATGTGGGGCGGGGCGGTGGGGAGAAGAGAGTATTAACTCAGTTCAAAAACCCTTTGCCCTTACCAGAATAGGCAATACCATTAAGGCTTGGAGCAATCCAACTAAGCTTGTTTTGTACCAGCTGCTGTAGTCAAGACAAACTTGAAGGTTTGGATGTTGGTCTAGCGCTGATTATGTCCAGTCCCGAGAGAGAGAGGGAGAGAGGGAGAGAACTCCTTCCCAGCGCTGGGAGACCCCCCACCCCAATACCTTCTTTAGGAACTCTCCCTTTTTTTTTTTTTTCCTGATTTAGTATCTCCTCCACACAGGCCTTTCAAACACTATCCTTAGGAGAGGTGTGGCTAGAATCAGTGTTTGACAAACATTTAAAGAACAGGGTGTGTTGTACTCTGACTTTGAGTAGAATGAACAGAGCTCCTGAGGAAATGGGGGAGACACAGATATGTCCTTGGAAAGTAACCTGACCCAGAGATGGGAGCCCACATGGGAAAAGTGCCCCGGGAAGCTGAGGAGGGCGAATGAGAACAATCCAGGGTGCTTAGTCGCTGGAGGGATGAGGGATGGAGTGTTGATGGGGCTGAGCAAAGGAAGGTCAACTCCCTTTTGAAGAATAAAGAGATCAACTTGAGTAGCAAGGGAAAAGATTTCTTTAATTGGCTTCATTCTAGAAGAGAAGAAGCAAGAGATGTAAAAACCCCTCATGCCTTAGACAGGAAGCCCTGAGCAAACGCATCCTATGGGTCTGTCCTTAGAGGTGGACCCCCTTTCTTCTTTCTGCACCAATGCATTCAGAGGGCACAAACTGAAACTGGAGGCTCTTTGAGGCCTCCCACCTCTGGAAGGGTCTGGGCAGGAAGGAACAACAAGCTAATGTTTAACTCAGGAGACAAAAGGCCCTTTGACAGGACCCTGACCTTGGCACACTCTTCCTGTCTTGCATATGAGCTTGGATTCCATTCAGGGAAAGCAAGGGCAGGTAGCTGTGGTGAGGAAGGGACCCCTTATCCTGTTGAAAGAATGTGGTTGGAGAATGAGGGTGTTATTTAGATTTTCACCTCTTATCAGGATTTCTGTTAATGCCCTCAGATAAAGTCCTTTCAAACCCAGCAGTTTTGTACATGACTCTGAAAGAGGTGGGGCTGGGGCCAGGTGAGCTAGTGAAGAGAAAATAAGGACTTGCATGGACACTGGAGATCCGAACACATATGTAGGATCAAGAGCTTGCCTCAATTAGAGTTCCTGAGCCCATGATCTAGATAATTCTAGAATAGCAATTTTACAAGATTCCCAATTTTCTCTGAATAATCAGTTCCATGGTGGGCTTTAGTTCTTAAGCTAAAAGGTAGGAGAGAGGCTGAGCAGCTCACAGGAAAATGGTAGTGCTGGGAAAGATCAACTGGCTTGCTTGAGAGGTGGGGCACAGTATGCTGAGAATGAGGGGAGGAGACCTCCATGCAGGGTCTGGGGAGAGCTGGCAAGGGGCACAGCAATGAGGGGGCCAGCCCCAGTGTGGAGCCTGCAGGGTACACCTCACACTATTCAACAATCACCCTCCCTGAGGGCTTTGGAACCCTTCTGAAAGCTTCAGAGCGAGCTTCCCTTCCTTTTCGCTCCTGTTGTATGCACCTGCCCACCTAGGATATTCTTGGGTTAGACAGAACCCTGTCTCCAGGAGAGATCCACCTCCTCATAGGGAAGTCAGCAGGGCCAATTCTGGGCCCTTAACAGCAATGCTGCACCCAGAGTGTCATTAGAGCCCATGTGGAAGAAAATCCTCCAGAGCACAGTTAGCATACACCTATATTCCCTTCCAACTCAGTGAAGGAGAGATGTGCTACAGGACTTCAGCAGGAAATGGTCAGCCAAAAGTCACTTTGATTTAGGAACAGGTGTTCAAAAATGGTCTTTGGAAGGGGGAGAGAGTATGCTTGCCAATTAGCAGTCATTTGGGTGCCTTGGAGTTTACCAACAGGGGTGGAGAGGAAGCCTTAGAGCTAAAGTCGTGTATATCCGAGCAAGAACCGCTGGAAACAAAAGCATGCAAGGGCTGGAGTGGGAAATTCAAAGTGGAGTCATATAGGAACACATGGACTCGCCCCTTTCTTGGCTCTTTGGTGTTGGGACTTGCATGGCTCCCCTCCACTCTGGATGCAAAGAATCAAGGACTCTGGCCCTTGGGAATGAAGGAAGAAGAGGGTCAATGAGACCTGATACCTGGGGCAGGGAGAAGAAAATGAAGCATCAGCTGAGGAGGAGGAAGGGTTCCTTTTAGCCCTCTCCCTGACTGAAGAGGGAAGGGAGTAGGAGAGTGAGTGAACAGAGGGGTGAAGGGAATAAACAGGGGCTCCACAAGGCTGGGCCAGAAGAGGGTTCTACTCTGGCTCAACCATGCTTTCAGCAGGATTTGAGGCTGGCAGGTAACTTCGTGTCCCCTATCCCGTAGGGCTGCATGTGAAGAAGGGACATGGCAGGTGCTCACAAGAGACTGCAGCCTGATGAGGTGACAAGATACAGGGGAGTGGGCAGATTGTGTTGGTGCCATGTGCCAGGGTTCTTGCCCATCTCAGAAAGAAGATGACAGCCTTGTGTTGCTGAGGAGAGGAAAGGCCTCGCAGAAGGCCAAGAGACCACTTGGCTTTTAAAGTTGTGCCCAGTTCCAGTCCTCTGGGCTACTGTCAGCCATTGGACCAGAGGGACAGTGGTAAACACAGGAGGCATAGGGAAAGAAAGACCCCAGGCCAGCAAGGTGAGCAATCCCAGATCCTCACTTGACTCCTCTACTGGTCTGCTGGGGTGCCACCATCCCCCCATGCCTGCCTCCACCTATCCTGCCCTCCATGGGGATCAGAGCAGGTATAAAGTACCTGTTTCTTCCTGGGTTTAGCTGAGCCAAGGCTGGAATTATTTCTAGAGAGTTTTTGTAGAAAATTATAAGAATGCAAAATCAAAGACAGGAGTCATGAAACAGAAAGTCTTTGAAGCTCAAATTCCTTATCCAAGTCCAGCCAGAGATTGGCTTGGCTGGCAGGAGTCTCGGTTAGTACTTCTGCAGCTTTGTCATAGAAAACCAGGAAACTGCGTTCATTATTCTTTGATTCTCCTTTCCTCCAGCTTCCAGCATGGTGCTAGACACCTTATAGCTTAGTAAGTGCATGTTGGATGATCATGTACCTGTGCATATTCAATTCCTAGCATATGAGAGGGAGTAGTGATTTTACTCATAAGCACTTGTCCAAACCCTGGTTATCCCAGGGATGGTCCAGATTTTTCACCATCTCCTTCCAATTCTCACCCTTAGGGAGCAGAGAACATCCCAAACAAATTGAGCGAAACACAGCTGAGCTGAGTGATGGGAAAGAGTCAAGGGTGTTTAGAATGCTCGTGTGTGTGTATGTGTGTGTGTGTGTGTGTGTGTGTGTACCCGCGCGCATGCTGGGGATTGAACCCAGGGGCACTTGTACACTGAGCCACATCCCCAGCCTTATTTTTATTTTTTACTTTGAGACAGGATCTCACTAAATTGCTTAGGGCCTCACTAAATTGCTGAGGCTGGCTTTGAACTAGCAATCTTCATGTCTCAGTCTCCAAGAGCTGCTGATAGGTATGTGCCACCATGCCGGGCTGTTTCATTTTTACTAAATTAAAACTGTCCTCTCTGGGCCATGGTGGTGTCCCTTTAGACCTTCCTCTGGCCTCTTCTGTGCATTCTGCTATTCTGTCTCTCCACCAACCCTCAGTGCTTCAACTTCTCTGCCTCTTCTCTCTCTGTTTCTTTGAATCATGGGCCTGATCCTTTTCCTGGGACCCTTTCCACAGTGGCCACTCTGGCTCTGGTCTCCAGGGGACTGGCAGTCCCACCAAAGTGTCAAGGCTGAGCAGCTGTGCACAAGTAAGGCAGTAAGCTAAAGGTATAAAACTGGGGGCAGTGGTACACATCTGTAATCCCAGTGACTCAGGAGGCTGAGGCAGGAGGATTGCAAGACCAGCCTAGGTAACTTAAAGAAACCCTGTCTTAAAAATTAAAAAAAATAAGTAAATAAATAAAAGTGCTGCAGATGTAGCTCAGTGGTAAAGCACCCTGAGCTACATGAACCCTGGTTTTAATCCCCAATATTGACCCCCACAAAATATATGAAAGACCCCAGCAAGCATGTCTGTAGGGAGAGATATCCCCCAAGGACACTTCTGCCTTAAGCTACTGGAGTGGATCTGGTACATGCTAATATGTTGTGGTCATTTTGTTTTGTAAGAATCGTAAACCCACTTGAGCAAGACCCTGGCACTTAAAATTTCTTTAGAAGCTTTAGCACAAATAAATGAAAATACTCAGCCCCACTAATGAATTTTTTGTGTGTGAAAAGTAAATTATAACATATAAGATACATCACATTTTAAAGTTAACTCACAAGGAAAGAGGTTTTGTTTCTTTTTTCTTCTTTTTACAATGGAATCTGATGAGCCACACCCATAATTTGGGACATAACCATGCCACAGATAGTGAATTCAGTGAGGAAGGGAAATGGGCTGAGGAAATTGTGAAGGGAGCATATTAATACGTCTTGATTTTTGGATGTAGGCAATTCACTTTTTGCCAAAAAAACACAGTAGATTTATTTGACTTCCTCTTTTGATATCCAGTGAAGAGGAAAAGTTAAAGGAAGGGTGTTTTAAAGATTGGATTAAGAATTGCTCTGCATGGTGACGTAAATTGAGTACATGCTTGGCCTGGAAGTTAATAAATGAGCAAGGAATGAACTGGAAATGATAAAATCAGAGAGAGGAATGGTTAATGAATATCACAAGTGCAGTTGCTCAGCCAGAGTGTCCTATGATCCTGGCTGAAGAAAGACCCCCACCAGCTCTGCTCCTCCATCAGACTGGTCAACCTACCCACCATCATCCTGCTCTCTGATGACAACCATCTTTTCCCCAGCCCAGCATTTATCCATAATCAAACATGACCAGTCATAGTCTCAAAATGCAGAAGATGAGATTTAAAATTTTATTTTTACAGATGAGGAAGCTGATGCCCCCCAAATTAAATGACTGACCCAAAATCCCAAAGTGGTACTTCCAGGACTAGCACCCCACTTGCCTGACTCCATCTAGACCATTCCCTGGCTCTTACTGCATCTCCTGAGACTTTGCTTTAGATTCAACACTCCATGTGGCTCCACACCAGACACTTCTCCTGGGATTGCCCATTTACTGTTGCCTACCTTGTTAGAGGTCTTGTTAGAGTGGTGCCCACTTCGGCATGCCCACCAGACCCCAGAGATGGGCACACTCAGCTTAGCTCCAAATACTCTCTTTCTTTACTCAAAACCACTATGCTCAGACCTCTATGCTGCTTCAATCACTTCCTAACTAAGCTCCCTTTTGGATACACCTGGTAATATTGGGAAAACTTGCTGGAGTTGGAGGTAAAACACGTAAGCATTAGTTCTGGTTCCTGTCTGGGTAAGTAACCCTGAGCAAATAACTTCATTTCTTTAAACTCCAGATTTTTAGGTGCTAAACGGGAATAATAATACATGCAATTTGATGTTGATAAGAAGAATGAATGAGGTATCTTTTAGAAAGGCCTGTTACATAGACAGCAATGATTGCTTTTTTCCTTATCTTACCATTCTTCTTCCCTCTTCTCTCTGCCCTGCCTTTCTCTCTTCTTTCCTCTTTCCTAGGGTTCATCGTGCACCATACGCCCAGACTGATCTTCCCTGAACAATTACTCTCACACTAGAATGCTCCCTTGATTGCAAATCTCAAATGATTCTCCATTGCCAAATCCAGTGGCTTCTCTGTGTGCCACGCAGGGCCCTCAGCTCCTGCAGCACCTCTGTGCTTCCTCTCCTGCTATTCAGGAACATGCTTGGTCTGGTGGTGGGACACCCACTAACACTGATTCCCCCTTTCTGCTCTCTGCTCTCCTCTTCCTGCAATGCTTTTTCCCACCTCTGCATCCCCAGAGGCTTCCCTGACCATTATGTGGTTTTTTTCCTTCTCTGATTTCCAGGTTCACTTACTGTTCATATCAATTTCCTTGGCATGAAATCAGAGGCCACCATGTCTTAAGGTTGTTTCCTTTGTGTCCATCTTTTTCTTGTCAACTCTTCTGTCTATTCCTTGAAGGCAGACCAAGCTCTCTTACCTCTTTGAGTTCCCACCAGGCCAGCAGAGGTGACTGGAACACAGGATGAGATTGGAACCCATGACTTCAGGTCTAAATCCTTGACCCAACACCTAGGAGCTATATGACTCGTGTTTCTCAGCTGTAAAAGCAATCACTTAACTTCTTCATTAGAAGGTTGCTTTTGTTCATTGAATAAATACTTATTGAGTACTACTAAATGTCAGGCCTGTGCTTTACAACACACATGAACTCATCTGATCCTACTAATCCCGACGTGATGATTTTGTCCTGGAATGCCAAACTCTAGCATGAAGTTTGAGGAAACTAAACTAAACAAATTAAAAACTTATATGAAGCTGCACCATGCTGGACACATAGAGGTGCCTTGGCTGAATCTGAGTATTCGGTCTTCAATAAATACTTTCTAAATTGAATCTGACTGACTCACTCATATACAGTAATGAAAATATTATAGTGAGTAGAACTACAATATGCTTGTCCTCCAGGAGAGAGTTCAGTCCAGCAAATGGATGTGGTAGATGCTAAATAAATAGCAATCATTTTTAATCATATTGCAATTAATTACAATCAAGGGAAAGTAAGGAATATTATGAGCATCTATCAGGAGACCTAGTCTGGGGTACCGTGTCAGGATAGGCAGCTCTGAAAAAGACCTAAAGAAGCTGAATAATACAGTGGGGAAAGAGAGGGGAAGCTTCGGGGAGTGGGGTGTAAAAGTCCAAGGTGAGAAAGCACAGGGACTTTTCAGGAACTTGGGCTCAACTTGGCCTGCAGTGGGGGAGGCGAGGTGGGGCTGAAAGTGGGCTGCACCTACAACATTGCTGGCCATGCTGAGGAAGCTGAAGTTGATGCACAGTGGGGGGGGGCACTGGGGACCTTAGGCCAAAGAAGTGACAAGATCAGGTTTGTATTTCTAGAAGCTCACTCTGGCTACTGTTGAAAGAACAGCTGAAAGAGCAAGGGTGGACTCAGGAGAAGAGGATGGAGTTAAAGAAAACTGGTATCTGGAACTCCCCCAGTGAAGACCCCACAGCGCCCACGGCCTGAAAGCTGACTTCAGGGGCCTGCGCTCAGCACAGTGCAAGTGCCCTCCATCCTGAGTTCCCCTCCTCCCAGCTCAAGGCTGTCCCAACCCACTGCCTCCCGTCCTACCCACACTCTTCCTTCTAGTGGGACAGTGAGGGGTGGGGGAGCAACCTCCACCCCATTCTGAAGTGCAGGCTAAGCCACAAACTGGTTTGAACCTGTCTGTTGAGGGATGGTTCCAAGGCAAAAAGACTCACCCGGCCTGGCTCAGAGTGGCCTCTCCACATTCTTGCCCATAATCACCCTTAGGAGGCCAGAGCAGAGGCAGGGCCCTCCTCCACCCTTCCAGCCCAGACAGCTGGCAGCAGCCCAACCTCTGCTTACCTCACTGTGCTCAAGCATGGCTACATTCTCTGGTTTGGGCTGGGTAGCTTCTGGAGGAGAGATTAATAGGTAGGTTAAAGCTACAGATGTGGAAATAGGAACCAGTTTCCAGTTCCTCTAGTTCCACCCACAAAGACCCAAGGGTCTAAACTCTGGGCACATCCGCAGCTCAAACACCCCAGAGTCCAATGGCTCCTCAACATTCACCACAATATTCTTTGCTGGTGTGAGGAACAGCAGTGGCTCTCTGTCGGGGTCAAGAGACTTGGGGACACCTTGACTCAGTCACCTCCATGGGCAAACACACAACTTCTCTGGGCTTTGGTTTGTTCAACTGCGAACTGCTATTGTGTGCGCCTCAGGGGAGAGAAGACAAGGTGAACATTCTTAGAAAAGCCAAAAATAAATACCAACTGATAAGGGTATTTGTAACAATGTTCATTGAATAAAATAGCAAAACATCTTGCTAAATTGCTGAGGCTGGCCTCAAACTTGCAATCCTCCTGCGTCAGCCTTCGAAGTTGCTGGGATTACAGATGTGTGCCATCCAAGCCTGGCAACTTATCTTTATTTTAAATGTAAAACCTAACTTCTAATTGAAAATGACAGATTTGATAAATACATTTCTCCTCTCCCTTAATAGACCCCTCTAAGTTTAATGATGTGATGATAGCTTATGTCCATAGTCACTTATCCAGGGATGTGATAGCACTGAGAACCCTCAATTAGAGTTCAGAAAAACAGTCTCCAACAAGCAGGACCCCAGTTTCCCACCCCCACTTTGTCTTCCTGCCCCCAACCCCAAAGTAGTAGAGGCTGGGACAGAAGCTCAGCTCCTCTGGAAGTTAAGCTGCACTCAGTTAGGGACTTTGCGCTGCTCCTAAGGACTCTGCCACCCTCTTTCTCAGCTGAGACACACTTGTTCTGAAGCTCCACGTCAGTAAAAGAGCAGGTGTTTCAAAGGGAAGTGGGTAGAGGTGATTAGCAGGTCAAAAATGGCAGTTGCAACTGCCCCAATTAACACTAAAACCACTGCCTAAAATGAAGAAGATTCCTAGAAGGATTCAGCGCTCAGAGTCCAGGTGAAAGGAGAGTACAAAAGTATATGTGCCTTCTGGGTCCCATGATCTCTTGTTCAAGGCCTCCTCTCTGCCCAGGATTCTCATTGAAATATTCCACCTTGTAAGAAAAGTCGTAGGAAGAAGAAGAAGAAGGAGGAGGAGGAGAAGGAGAAGGAGAAGGAGAAGAAGAATCTAACAAAGACCACCAGCACAAACCTGTTGTGTGACAAATTTGGATTAATTGACTCAGTGAGGGAGGGCACTCTAGAGGAACAGTGGAATGGCGTTAATAGGAGAAAGGAGGCACAGTGTAGGGCATGCCTGTAATCCCAGTGACTTGGGAGGCTGAGACAGGAGGATCTCAAGTTCAAGTCTGGCCTCAGAAAATTAGTGAGACCTTGTCTCAAAATAAATAAATAGGGTTGGGGTAAATCACCCCTGGGTTAAATTTGAAGAAGGAGGAGGAGGAAGAGGTGGCAAAACATCTTTTGTAAGCCTTGGGTTCCTGCTGTAGGGTTTTAAGAAGAGTCTTCAGAAAAGTTGGGGTCAATGCTGAGTTGGTGGCTGTTTCTGACACAGAGTTAGGACATGTGAATCATTGGATGCTCTTATGGAGGAGGGCAATTGGGCAGTTGGCTATCCCCACTGATAGGAACATTTAAGCAAAATAGGTCTGGGAGCATCATTGGGAAGAAGTAGGAGACATTCAGAGAGGAAGCATTCATAGCGGCTGCCTGACTTTGGAGAAAAAAAAATCATTCCTGTTAAATACAGTTGGTTTTATCCGTGTCTATCCTTCTCCTGAGGAAGAGCAAGGCTGCTTTTAAATTTTCATTCTGAGTTAATGTTTGCTCTTCAGTTTGGTCTAGGTTTTGTACTCTTTCACCCACCACCATTGCTGAGAAGATCTTCAGGTTGGATGGCTCTTTCTTCCCAATATATATTCCACTCAATGCTTACGGACATAGCTCCTAGATTCAGACTGACTGCATTCACATCCTGATTCCACGAAGTGCTTATCTTTGAGATCTCAGGCAGGTTATTTACCATTCTGTGTCTCAATTTCTTTATCTATAAAATAGAAAAATATAAGAGCACTTGTCTCAGAGGGTTGTTGTGAAGATTAACAAAATAATACATGCAATGGTCTTAGAACAGTGACTAACCCTCAGTTAATATTCAATAAACATTAGTTCTTGTTCTTATTACTTTTATTTATGTATGCATGTATTTATTTATTGTTTGGTACTGGGATGCTTTACCACTGAACTACATCTTCAGTCCTTTTTTATTTTTTAATTTTGAGACAGGGTCTCCTAAATTGCTGAGGGTCTTGCTAAGTTGCTGAGGCTGGCCTCAAACTTGCAATCCTACTGTGCCAGCCTTCGAAGTTGCTGGGATTACAAGTGTGTGCCATACAAGACTGTACATCCAATGTAACTTAACTTCTAATTGAAAGTGACAGATTTGCTAAACACATTTCTCCTCTCCCTTAATAGATCCCTCTAAGTATTAATGAAGGATTAAAATGTACTAACTCCAGAAATAAAGAATCCAGTGGAAACGTTGTCAGCAGTTTGAAGATGTCAACAAATATGTGGAAGAAAGGAAGCAGATGGAGGTGTGACAACTGATGAAAAATGGGAGCCAAAAAAAAGAGAAATTTATAAAAAAGGGATTTTATTTTTAGAAGTTAGAAAATGTAAACAAATGAGCATGTATATATACAGATAGAGAGCTAGGTTCTCTTTATGTACATAGAGGTAACCACTTTACCCCAAAGATGGTATTAATTGCTCCCTCGCTTTTCTTTATATTCATTCACACATGCAGCTGTCCCTCAGCAATGAAATGCATCATTTGTCTTTTTCTATTTTTGAGTTTTATACAAATGAAATCACACTTCACGTATTCTTCTGTGGCGTTTGTTATCAACATTACACTTATTTTCAAATAACAGTTTTATTAAGATAGAATTCACACAGCACAATGGTTTTTCGTATATTTGCAAAGCTGTGCAACCATCACCAGCATTTAATACCAGAACATTCTCATTACCCAAACAGAAGCACTTTCACCACACTCCTTTATGTCATTCCCCAATCTCTGCTTATCCTCATCCCTGGCAACCACTAATCTACTTTCTGTGTCTTTGGACTTGCCTCTTCTTCATAAAAATGGAATCATATGATACAGAGCCTTTCCTATGTTTCACTTAACATGTTTTCAAGGTCCATCCATATTGACCATGTATCAGAACTTTATTCATTTTTATGGCTGACTAATATTTTGTTGTATGGATATGCTACATATTTGTTTATTCATTCTTCTGCTATTGAACATTTGCATTATTTTCACTTTTGAATAATACTTCTTTGGATATTCATGTGCAGTTTCTTGCATATGTATGTTTTGATCCTCTTGAAGAATACCCAGGAGTGGAATTGCCAAGCCATATGATAACTCTACATTTAACTTTTTGTGAACCTGTGGACATGTTTTCCAAAGTGGCTGCACAACTTACATTTCCAGTCAGCAACACAGGAGGCTGCCAGCAGTGTTTTTATATCCATTCATGTTGATGCCTGTGACCAAGGTAAGTCCATTTTATTCACATATCCCACTTTTCAAATACATCCTACCATTGATGGGCATTTGGGTTAGTTCCAGTTTTTGCTGTTATCCATGATGCTTCTATGAACATTTCTTCTGCAGGCATCTGCTATATGTGATCAAGAGCTCCTTCAGAGGACAGTCAGCCCTCCACATCTGAAGATGTCTACATCTGCAGATTCAACCAAATACAGATTGAATTTTTTAAATCCAGAAAACCAATTTGCCCCCACCAAACACTATACTAAATTCATGCAAATAAAGTGATACATAGATGCATTCTGCCAGAGCCTCCTGCCACCTCCCAGATGCTCAATCTCCAGCACCTATGGATAATTGTTTGCCTGTATCTACTTCATGTACTCTGTGTCAGGCCTATGATAGTTGAGTCTTTACTAAACATGCACAGATTTTTTCCCCTTATTATTCTCTAAACAATACTATAGCAAGTATATTCATAGCATGTACATTTTATTCTGTATTGTAAGTAATTTACACAGGATTTAAAGTACATAGGAGGATGTGTGTGGGAAATATGTAATTTTATAAATCTAAAAGTGTGCCATTTTAAATAAGAGACTTTGGGCATCCATTTTGGATACTTAGGGAGGATAGAATATGCCCAGAGGTAGAATTGCTGTATCATAAGGTATGCACATGTTCAATCCTATTAGATAATGCTAAATTGTTTTCCAAAGTCTCGTTCTAATAACCACTTCTATCCTCAGCGTTTAAGAGTTCTTGCTTTTCTACATCATCTCCAAGTATAGACATTATCATATTTTTAAAAACTTTGCCTAATTCAATGAGCATGCAATATTCTCTCGTTGTGGGTTTTAACCTGGCATTTGAACTGTTTACTCATACCATTGAGCCTCTTTTCCCATGTTTCTGGTCCATTTGGCAAACCATACCCAACATAAAATAAAAAGGGCTGAGGATGTGGCTCAGTAGTAAAGTACAGGAAAGAAAGGAAAAGAAAGAAAGAAAGAAAGAAAGGAAGGAAGGAAGGAAGGAAGGAAAAGAAAGAAAGAAAGAGTAAGAGAGGGAGGGAGGAAGGAAGGAAAGAAGGAAGAAAGGAAGGAAGGAAGGGTAAGAGGGGGAGGGAGGGAGGGAAGGAGAGTAAGGGATGGAGGGAAAGAGGGTAAGAGAGGGAGGGAGGGAGAGAGGAAGGGAAGAAGGAAGGAAGAAAGGAAATAAGAAAGGAAAGAAGGGAGGGAGGGAGGGAAAAAGGCATGTTTTTGTTATTGATTTTTAAACTTAATTATTTTATGACCAGATAATAAGTTCTGCTTGACCTTCATTCCTTAAAGTGTATAAAAATTTGATTTATGTCTTACAACGGTGGTCAATTCTTGAAAAATGTTTGTGTATTAAAACAAAAAAAAGTTTTCTTTTGTTGAATGTAGTTGTTAATATATATCCACTAGCTCAATCCTTTTATTTGTTTTATTCATAAAGGTAGTTTTAGAAATGCATAGACTGAGCTGGTGGGACAAACCTATAATCCCAGCAGCTGAGGAGGCTAAGGTGGGGATCATGAGTTCAAAGCCAGCCTCAAAAAACTTAGGGAGGCCCTAACAATTTAGCAAGACACTGCTTCAAAATAAAATATTGTGACTCAGTGGTTAAGTGCCCCAAGTACCAAAAAAAAATAAAATAAATAATAAAAGAAAGAAAAAGAAATACACATACTGGAGAAATTTACTATTAAGCCTCCATTGGTTAATGACTCATTAATGTGTTTCAGCAAATATAGGAGAAAGGCAACGCAGAGGAGAACAGTGGCCAGGGAACAGTGTCTACATCACTCAGGGAAATGGTGACACCCGCCCCCCAACCCCCACCGCGTTTGGCACCTATGCAGCAGGTCTCATGAATAAACAATCCCTTCAGATGGGGACATTCCAGGGCTCCAGGCCAGAAAATGCCAGGATTCCAACCACCTAACACCATCCTTAAGACTTTGGGAAAATAAGATCCAAGGTGATTCACTGTCTGCTGATCTGTCAAAGTCAGGGTTCATTAGAGTTGGGGGCCTTGAGTTTATTGGGGGCATCCAGAGCACATGACTCAGGCTGCTTGGGTTTGCCCCTGTCGAGAGATTTTTATGGACTCTGAGGAACCTGGCTATAGCCACTTGGTCTCTATCAAGAGCAGAGATCACAAAGACAGGTGCTGTCCTCTCTAACCTTGTCAAGAATGGTCTCTAATGTTAACCCAGCTGAGGTTTACAGAAAGAGCCATTGGAATGATGGGAGAAAATATTCCAACTTATATTATCTCATTCTTTTTATTTCTTTGTGTGTGCATTATAATGTACATAATAAATTAGTAAAGTAGGAAATGTATATATATGTATGTGTATATGTATAAACAAACATAATGGGCATGCATATGCAGATATTTTTAACAGATGAAGTTATAATTATGAATACTTCAGACCCCTGATAAACACGAGCTATGCAGGGAGAGACACTTGGATAGCCTCCCAAAGTCAGAACAATACGATAGCCATGTCACTGCTCAGTGACTGTGTGACAGATGCTATGCAAGATGTTTTTAATTGATTATTTCAGTGAATCATCAAAACAACCTTTCAAGTAAATATTATTTTTTTCATTGAATAGGTGAGAAAACTGACGCTAAGAGAAATTCAGCAACTTGTTCAAAGTCCTACAAAGGTGACAGACCCAGAATTTCAACCCAAATTATAAGTTGCCACAGTTCGTGTTCTTTTCCATTAGCCAAATGTTCCCTTTGCTAATTGCAAAACTGCCATTTGTTAAGGGTTGAATTGTGTATCCCTAAAATTAATATAGTGAAGTCCTAACACCCAGTACCTTGGAATGTGACCTTATTTGGAAATAGGGTTGTTTCAGTTGTAGTTAGTTAAAATGAGGTCATACTGGAGTAGGACCCTGTCCCATATGACTGGTGCCCTTATAAGAAGAACTCCCATTGAAGAGACAGATATACCCACAGGGAGAATGACATTTGAAGATGGAACTCAGCTGACACAAGCCAAGATACTACCAGAAGCCAGAGGGAAAACCTAGAACATATCCTCCCCTGGTACCATAAGAGGAAACAGGGTCTTGCTTACACCTTGATTTTGGACTTGTACTCTCCATAACTGTAACAATATATTTCTTTCTTTCTTTTTCTTTTCTTTCTTTTTTTTTTTTTTTTTTGGTACCAGAGATTGAATCCAGGGATCAAGAGGTGCTTAACCACTGAGCCACATCTCCAGCCCTTTTTATTTTTTTATTTTGAGACAGGGTTGCTTAGGGCCTTGCCAAATTGCTGAGGCTGGCTTTGAACTTGTAATCCTCCTACCTCAGCCTCCCAAGTCGCTGGGATTTCCATTTTTTAAACTGCCCAACTGGGGATACTTTATTATGTTAACCTCAGCAAAATAACAGACCAGTTATTACTGTACTTGTAGATGAGATTAAACTGAAATGGGTTTTAACTTCTTATCACTGTATTTTTAACTACATGTGTCTTGTTAGATTTTCTTAGTCTTCTTTCCACACGCCCTAAGTATATTAGTAATTCTTCTTAAATACTCACAAAATGAAGGTTAGTGTTAGTGAGATTAAATAAGTGATTAGAAGTGAACTATTTTATTCATCAAATTTTATAAAACAATCCGAAACTATAAAATGGGGTAGCTAACAGCCATTTCTCCAGAATCTGGAGATGTGGGACCATGTGTCTTCTAACGCTTAGAAAAACCTCCCTTCCAGGGCCCAGAAGCAAACTCCACAGCTAACATTGTACGTTGGCTCAAGAGGGAGTGAGAAATCTTGCTCATCACTATTCAGTACATTGGATAAGAAGATAATGTTGTTATGTAGAGAAATCCCAATTTCTGTTTAAACATGGTAGATTAGATACAATATTTTATCTCTACTTTGTGTCAAAGCCCCTTTGAACTGATAAAGTTCTGTTTTTATTTTTAAAGGAAAAATCGACAAGAACAAAGGAAACAGAAAAAGAGATCAGGGCAGACAAGAGATGGTGGAAAATGCTGGAAGATGAAAAGCAAGTGGGAGGGGGATACTGACCCAGAGGGCAGAGAACAAGGAAGCCCAGACCTGCAAAGAGAGAAAGCCTGTGGGAAGCCAGCTTTTGTGCTGCTGAAGCACATGGGATGTGTGCTACTCAGAAGATGGAGGTGAGGAGTACACCTAAAATTAAGACCACCAGTTACAAGTCTGTGTAGAGAAAGAATTTCCCCTCTTTCACCTCAGGAGGAAAAGGTCTTCTACTGACGAAAATTTGTGAGAGATGAACTCTAATCTCAAAACTCAGAAACGTCAGCCACATCTCATAACTGGAGATTAACAGGTGTTTTCCATTGAATGGTGCACCCTCCAGCCTCTATCTCCACCTGTTCTAAAAATGCTAGTTCAGAGGTGCATCCCCCTCCACCACTGCCAGAGAGGCAAATGGAAAATTCTCTGGGGAAACAATCACTCAAGAAAAAAATGACTGCTGCTAGTAAGTTTGGGTGTTTCCTCCAATTAAATGGCTGGTGGCTACCTTAAAAAAAAAATGGTGAAGCCCCAGATAGGTACAGTCCTATCATCAGTGGATAGGTGCCTCAGTGTTAAATATGAGCACACACTAGGAGTACTACACATTTGAGGAAAGTCTCTAAAATGAAAGCCAGGCAGCAAAATGAGCAATCAGGAAGAAGGAACTCAGAGGAAGTGATGCAGAAAACAGAAGAAAACAAACAAATTTAAAAAATACATACCATTGACAAGCTCAGATATTGTAACCCTGAATCAAACATATAATGTTACATATTTAAAAGGAAGATTTAGAGAACACCAGAAAGTACTAATAAAATACAGTCTAATAGAAGAAATTTGTAAAGATGTACTATGTGATGTATAATATTACAATGTGTATAAAAATGAAGTTATGGGAATATCTCCTTATTTGACTGATGTTTCTGCCTCCCTTTTCCATCTTATAAGGACCCTTGTGACGCTGAGGCATCCAGATGATCCAGGGTAATACTCCCAACCTGAGATCCTTGTCTTAATGGCATCTGGAAAGTTCTTTTTGCCAGGTAAAGAAATATACTCACAGGTTCTAGGGATAGGGTGCTGTTGTAGTTTGGGTATGAGATGTCCCCCAGCAACTCATGTGTGAGACAATGCCAGAAGGTTCAGAGAAGAAATGATTGGGTTACAAGAGCCTTAACCTAATCAGTGAAATAATCACCTAATAAGATTAATTCAGTGGTAACTGAATGTGGG